TAAATTAGAGTACATACGGTATGATGTATGTGTGAAGATTGAATTGGTCCAGGCATGTCAAGATACAGGTCCAGACGCATGCACACACGGACACACAGGTCCAATTAAATTTAGGAAAATGGTATATTCGCCAGAATTTATTTTCACTGAATCATCCCTTCAGCGAAAATGTATCTTACAGTAATAAACAAATGAACATTGTCATGCAATTTATAACCAACTTCTAATTAGCCTGATATATTCCACCTAAATTTCTAAAACTGGTATTCAATGATCATTTTACCTTAATTGTCGCCATATTTGTGGGATATCTTCCCAAAAACGTCATGAAATGCTTAAAAATCATTTTGAATCACTTATTTCATTGATTTGGTTTGTAATATCTACATGTACGCTCTGATAGAATTGAGCCACAACTCAAGTGGTTTGAAAAGTAAAATCACATAATACTTTAATTTGTTGTTGTACATGACTATTAATAGGATACTATTTTGATGTCTGTTTACTAGTTAGGCAAGATTTAAGTTCAAGACAAGAAGGCATGTTTTTAACATCCATGTTCAAATCAAAGTATTAATCCATGCTGTTTAGTGATGATATGTCATTTTCTGATTGTTGCATTTTATTCGGATTCTTATACTACCAGTACCAATATTTGTTTTCCCATGAACTAATGCCTTTCTCTAAAATCATGATTTAATCGTACCAGGTAAAAACAAAGATATGCAATAAATTCATAACTTAGGTAGCACTTTTGAAGCAAAATATCGTGATACAATTTTGACCCTATTTAATAGGTCAAAATACCTGTGAACTACATTTCCCATTAGCTCTAGCTATAATGCAATTCAAACACAAACTGAAAAATCTTTATTGAAACACCATCATTGTCTTTCCCACCACTTTAGATTAAGTGACTTTTCTGGGTAGGTTATACCATTAGTTCATTTATGAAGCAATGCACCAAGAATTGCATGGGACAATACTGCAAGCATAACATGAGTTAATGTGACAATCACATGCACACAAGACAGCTGATTGTGGTGATGGGACACTAGTTGCCTGGAAAACTAACAAGTCAGTTTTATTAGGCTACGTTGTCCCGGCAACATCTTGACCACAATTATACAAGGCATGATATATCATAATAATAATCTCCTTGTCACCATGGAAAATATAGTTTATTTATTGTTGTAATTGCTCTATTGACATTAACCTTTTCACATTTTTGAATAAAAAATTCCCTGACTTTACCATATATTGTTTAAAAAGCTGAATAAGACATGAAAAGCATCTACATGTAGGTGAAGTTCATTAAAACATGAAAAACTAATTGCCACACATTGTAAAAATGACTAAACCTAAAAACAAAACAATACTTTTATTTTTGCCTGAAATTTACAGGATATAATAAATGTACATAAAGTACATGTAAATGTGTCCTGACTGTTTTAAGAACCTGTTTTTTTTAATGTTTACAGAGAAGTACTTTCCAGTCCTG